CCTCGAATTTCCCTTTCCCTTTCCCTTTCCCTTTCTTTCTTTCCTCTCTCCCCTCCCTCTCTCCCTCCCTTCCCTAGATAATTCTTCGCGTTATTCGCCCGGTAATGGGCTCCCGTCCCCTCTTCTAAAACCGTTCCTTTTTAGAGGCATTGAAACGCGTTATACCGCGGTGGCGGCGGCTGTTCTGTCGTAAGGTTACATCGTCAGGGTAAATACTTCGACCGCAAACACTCGTCGCCGTGGTATTTTAACCAAAATTGCTCGGTAACAGGCTTGCCAAGGCGAAGCCAGCTACTAGTACGCCACTATTGGACAAGTTTTAGCGGCCAGACTGTCGTTAGACACGCTAACGACGGGACGTGATATCCACGAAGAGAAACGACACGAAGCGGATATCGTCCGTACACACGAACGAATCTTTCCTCCTCTCCTTCTCCCTTATCTTCGTTTACCTATTTCTCTCTCTCTCTCTCTCTTTCGATTCCACGAGCGGATAATACAAATAACAATCGGAGAAAAAGCGGGTAGGATCGACGCGAAAACGAACGAGTCGTTTCTCACTCCTCTCCCTATTTTTATTAATCGAGCAACAAAAATCCATCCCTCGACCCCGATAATTTGCAGCGTCTCATTAGTCCTCCTTGGATTTATCGTGAACGAGTGGAGAGCTCGGTTTCCAATTCGTAAATTTCGAGCTCGTCCCTCTATCGAAGGTGTGGAAGGGAGGAATGGACGGGCGGAATGGCGTGCGTGCGTCCACCTATTCTACGAAAGTAATTACGAATGAATTACGAGAGAGACGGGAAACCGTGCCACCGGTACACACCATGATAATGTAACGGAGAGTATAATGACCGGTACGCGATTATCGTCCTAATAAGCGACACTGTGACGCAACAACCTTCTCTCTCTCTCTCTCTGTCTCTCTTTACGCTCCATCTTCTCTTTATCCGCTCCTTTCGCTCGTCGAAAAACGAGAAGGAAGAGAAGGAGGTTACAATTACAAAGTAGGTTTTTTCTCGAAAAATACCTGGACGAGATATACCGATGCTCCATTTCCCATCGTGGAACTAGGGTCTCGAAGGAAACTACTTTGTTATTATCCCTGTATCTATTATCGTCTATAATGCGCGGTGTCCCGATCAGAAGCAAGGGAATTTCTTTTCTTCCTGCTGATCTTTCATCGATGATTTGATGAAAATTTTCTTATATAGGAATATCGAAATATCGGTCGCAATTGTGCCAGTTATCGATTATTTCTTCCAATAATTTTGACGATTGGATCTGTTCTGATGATAAAAGGAAAAAAAAGGAAAAGAGAAATTTCAATTTATCGAATTTATCCTATTTATCGTATTATTTTATCGAAGAGCGGGATCAAACCAGTTCGTGTCTCAATTAACGCTCGTTCACCGTGTATATTTATATTTTAATTGAGCAGGCATTATCGACGAGATTATTTCGTGTTCGCAAAATTCTACGCTTCTACGGAAGACGGTATTTTTGGATAAGGGTGGAGGGCGGAGGAGAGGATGTAAATGGCGGAGTAAGAGGGATGGATAATGGAATAATATCCACCTGATGGCCGTTTACCCTTTAACGATGATTCCTCGGTTTCGAAAGAGAAACAGAGAGAGAGAGCAGTTACGCGTCAAATTGAATTTCACGGGAAATTTTCCGCCTCCCGCCATTTTCTGCCTCTCCTCTTCCCTAGAAACGCCATTCGGATCATTATCCGTACTAATTTCGAAGCGATGCTCAATACCCACTCCATCCTGATTAAATTGGAAAATTTTGTTTTCTTCTCTTATCTACATAAAATCTATATTCGCTTTTTTAGATATTGAAAAGAGAAAGAAAGACTTTGTTCGATTATCGTGCATTCGTTTTCGAAACGGTGTTAAATCGAAAAAAGAAAAAAAAAATAGAAAAGTTGATGCAAATTATGATCAAATTATCTTGCTTACCCGCAAAATCCCCCCCGATTTTATCTTACGTACACTCGCGTTACAAGAAAACAAAAAAGCGTGGGGACAGCGTTTCTCGCGATTTCTCGTCTTCGATTATTAATTCGTTTTTATTACACGTGAAACGAACAACTTAATCGGGGGATATCGGGCCCCCTTTAATCGGGCCGCTATCTTTATTGCGTATCTGTGACAGCGGTCGTCAAGAGTGGTTTTCGCGGTATATCCCGAGAATGCGTAATTTTTTCCATATTTCAGCGACATCTGGGCCACGCTCTCATCCAAAGTAGCTTCCCCTCTCTGCTACATCCACGGGGTGTTTTAAAATTACAGATCGATCGAATAAATTCTCTTACTACAAACGATTCTCAAACGTGACTTTTTCTCCCTTTTCTTTAAATTTCCTCGACATAATTCTCCTGACAGATGGAAAGTAAGAAATAAGGGAAGAAGGGGGGAAAAATGCGCTTAATTTAAAGCGAAAAAATATGATAGAAATAGGAAAAATAATAGGGGAGAATTGATTGACTCGCATTTTTCAAACGTCCTGTGTAAGGTGGTCGATATACGATATCTGTATTTGTCAGTTTATCGCCACTTTTAATAATCTCGCCTTTTCACGGGGAAATGAAAACGCGACGATTCCCCGTCGATAAACGTCGTTTGGACGCACGCGATTCTTTCATCGAATCGATGAAATTACTCGTTTTAATCACACTGGAATAACGTTGATGGGGGAAGCCTTTTCTTTTCTTTCTTTCTTTCACGAACAGGCGAGAGATTTGACGCGATTGGCCGTGTTGTTTCTTTTTCTTTTTTCTTTTTTTTCACGATCCAACAATTACCTAGGAGAAATAATTGGATCGTTTCTGCTTAGTTTACGCGTGAAAATGAAGATTTGATGGAAATGTGTCGTTGATTTGCATATCAGAGAGAGAGAGATGTAATTCGATTTGAGACGCGTATACTTTCGTGGAACAAATTTTATTTTATTTTATTTGATGTAAAAATAAAGAAAGAACAGTCAAGTACAAGTATGAATTTGATGATCGAGTTTTATCGCTATAAAATTCGAAGATCGTGCTCGATTAAATAATGATAACTAACGATGACTAAATGATACTGGAATTAATAATTATTACAAACGTATCGATATTGTAACTACGTGATTTAACTACGTATAATTTTTATCGTAATAGTCTCCAATTTACAAATGAAAAAAAAAAAAAAAAAGAAAAAAGAAAGGAAGAAAATGAGCGAGCGACGATTTCGTCTTGGAATCCCGCGTATAAATGTATTTATCGCATTCTTCGTTCTCATTATTACATACCGCGTATCATGTTTCGAAGCATTAAATCTACCGGTATGCATATCGCATTAAATGCACTTTCTGTTATTCATGCGCTATTACTACGACAGATAAATGCTTAATGACGTCGATAGTCACGCTTCAAAGAGAACGAATTACGGAAAACGATACGACGTTCCGTATTTCGAATTATTTCGCTAACGAGAGTAAATTATGAAAGAGAGAGAGAGAGAGAGAGAAAAAGAAAAAGAAAAAAAATCGTAAAACACGTGTACGACACGTCATATACGTTACAGAGATGGACACCAGCGTTGCAATAATTTCGAAATTATATTTTGCTTTCTGGTTCCTCCGTTCATTTTTCTTCCGGGGAAAAGGGTTTCTGTCACGTTCGAGCGATTCGACTGCTCGGTGAACCGACTCTAATGCCCGTTCGGTGTAAATTATTATCCAACTCGATCACCACTTTGTAACCCTACCAACGATAATAATTTGATTAATCATTCCTCAAGAATTTATCTCATCCCTAATACAACGATTCTCGAATTATCTCGTTCGAATTCCCAATGCTCAACGCCAACAACGCGATACGAAGGAGAAACAGGTGAATAGGCGAACTTTTATTGTTCCAATTCTCTCGTACTCGCCCTATATCCCGATAATCGGAGTGTCGTTCCGATATCGACGCGACACGAAAGTTTGCCCGCGCTTTAAGTTAAGAACCATCCTTTTTCGTTCAAATCTGCTCGTATTCCCCCTTCCAGGGGATATTTCCAGGATATTTCCAGGTCCAGGTATCGAATAACCGGGCGGAATAATTAGCGAAAGGATGAACGTCGACCCGATAAGGCTCGAATCTCGTGTTTCGCGAGTTTCAACCCCCCCCCCCCC